TCTAAATGATGTCAGTTCATGATAAAATCCTGTAAACATATGTAAATTAGCCAAAGAGATGGAGAAAGCTTCGAGGATAGGCAACACCAGGCAACTATTTAGACTCATCAGGGAAACGGGTGGGAGAAGACAAATCATCAGTGAGACAATCTCGGAAAAAATGGCACTATAATTAGCTCCCAGGATAGACGACTGGATCGTTGGAAAGAGCATTATGAGGAGCAGTTTAATTTGCCCACAGCCACGCTCAACCTTCCGAGCATCCAACACCTCCCTGAATGGGATATAAACACAGGTCCTCCGTCACTAACTGAGGTTACTAAAGCTGTCACCAATCTGAAACTAGGCAAAGCAGCGGGACCTGATGGAATGACTCCAGAGGTATTTAAGTACGGTGGAGACAGCTTACTGTCCGGATTAACTGAGGTACTAGGCAGCGTCTGGGAATCAGAAGAAGTCCCATCGGGTTGGTGTAAGTCACTGATTATCCCCATATACAAGAAGGGAGACAAGTCTTCCTGTGATAATCACAGAGGGATTAGCTTGACTAATATAGTATCTAAAGTCTTAGGCTCAATAATCATGCGTAGACTGAGTGGTGCTCGGGAAGCACAAACACGAGAGAGCCAGGCAGGCTTTAGACCAGGAAGAGGGTGTATTGATCATATCTTCACCCTCCGACAGATTCTAGAACATAGGCATTCCTACCGGCGTCCAACAGTCATTATATTTCTTGACCTAAAGGCAGCATTCGACTCTGTCGATCGGGAAGTTCTCTGGAGATGCTTGGCTGTAAAGGGAATTCCAAGAAAATATATTGCACTGATTAAGGCACTCTACTCGTACTCATACAGCCAGGTGAGGGCTTACGGCGAGCTGTCATCTGAACTGATGACGACCAGTGGTGTCCGTCAAGGATGCCCATTATCTCCTTTTCTATTCAACTTCATCATAGATGTGTTAATGGACTTAACCCTAGGTGACTTCAGCGACTCAGGGATTGACTTGCTACCGGGGAATAATCTCGTTGACTTGGAATATGCAGACGATATAGTCCTTCTAGGCGAAGACGCTGACGAAATGCAGAGTCTTCTAAACACCTTGAGCCGCAATCTACGAATGTTTGGCATGCGATTCGCTCCCGCCAAATGCAAGATGATGTTACAGGACTGGACTACATCGACGCCTAGTTTAAAAATAGGAAGTGAAGTGGTAGAGCACGTTGACCGCTTCACTTATTTGGGAAGTACCATCAGCCCCAACGGGCTGATCTCTGACGAAATCTCAGCACGAATACAAGGGGCTCGTTTCGCATTTGTTAGTTTACGCCGACTCTGGCGTAGACGAGATGTTCGACTATCGACCAAAGGGCGGGTGTACTGCTCATCAGTCCGCTCCGTCCTCCTTTATGGTTGTGAGACCTGGCCACTGAGAGTGGAAGACATGAAAAGACTAGCTGTCTTTGATCATAGGTGCCTGCGTTCTATTTCCCGTGTAAAGTGGCATAATAAGGTGAGCAACATGGAGGTTAGGCGTAGAGTTCTAGGTAAACAGGGGAAATCAATCGACGAAGTCGTGAAGCTACAAAGACTGAGATGGTTAGGACATGTGTTACGTATGCCAAGCCATCGCCTCCCTCGACGAGCTATGTTAGCGGATATAGGGTCAGGCTGGAAAAAAGCTAGCGGCGGTCAAACAAAAACTTGGCATCAGTCAATGAAATCCACAACAGTTGGTCTAAGCCACGTAGGAAGGTGTAGACTTCCAGGCTGGGGTCCTCGGGACGGTAAAAATCTATGGTTGGAAACAATTGGTGACATGGCTCAAAACCGTTCTCAGTGGCGCAGATGCATCCACTCCCTGTGACTTATGATCTTCAATGAAACTGTTTTGTATTTCTTTATTACTCCTTTGTCTCACACCTCTGCTCACTGTTTCTATTATGCTTTTCTTGTACTTTCTTCTCTTGCTTCGCGTGCTACACGGAATGTGGCGACTTGAACTTCCGCACATTTGTGCAAAGTTCTATGTCGAAAACAGACAGACAGAAATTAGTATGTAACATGGGATGTTACGTAATCGTGATAAGATCTGTTGTACATCATGTTTGGTTTTTTTTGATAAGGATAGCCATGATTGCAAAAATTTGTTTAACAGATGACAGTCTCTCACAAAATCACACTACTTATTTCACCTCTGTGAAAAAAATTAATATAAACACATTTTTTCGAGACAGATGACTTCTTCTAATGTAATGTAGAATAACACAACTTAGTCTCTTGAATCCGATATGTAATAACCTTAGTATGTTCAGCAGATCTTAAGTTTGAAGTAGTACTGTTAGATTACGTTGGCATTTACTCCAAGTTTAGGGATAGGAACTGAAGTGACTGACTGATCATTAAATTGATAAGAATCATCTTACGACTAATCATGTGATCGGATGACTGTAACATTTCATCATCAATTTCTCACCCTGTGGTCTTTATCAAATCGCCAACCAATCAGAATAGTTAATTTTCCCTTACTTTAACCGAATCCCCTATCAGGTGAAACAATCTGTTTCCACTGCCCTGGACCGATTTTAATGTGGTAAAAAAAAATACATATTAACACCACAATCAAAGGTCAGTCTCTCTCTTTTGATATTTATGTGGCTCAGTGAAGCAGACGCTACCATAGACGGATGGGTGTATCCAGAAGTACATCAGTTGAGTTGTTCATTGCGTCAGTATTATTATACCCACGCATGAGTTCACTCGATCATATCAACTGTCGACGTGATCATATCAGTTGACGAAAGTTCCATAACAAATTGGCGAAAGGGGGTTATTTAATTTGGTGTCGACATAACACCTACTTATTTAGGAAGTTTTACTAGTATTAATAAGCCGATTGCTATAAAGAAGATTGAGTCAGGAATAAAGATGGGCTGATATGACACTTAACAAACTTATGTCACCTCTGGAGCAGGTAGGATATTTCATTACCTTGTAACGACAGAAGACAATGGCAAGGCAACAGATCGTTCATTGAGAAAATTAACAGATATTTATAGATTTTTATGTACATTATTATTCGTTATTGTTAGCAGAGAAGCAACGTCTTCTGACTGGTTGTTTTCCTGCTGAAGGTTATTCTGTCATCTCTTTGTTGTCACTTATCAGACAGTCCGGTGATATATCTGAGATTCGTATCTGCCCACGCTAAGTCTGCTGTGATTGGTTGTTGAGTTCCTCAAGATTAGGCTTTGTTCATGGTCTTTCTCACGACCCCAATTCAGGACGTAAACATTAACGAAAATTGCTGTCTACTAATTTTGGTTAACAGACAGCATTCACCACAACCTTATCACAGTAAGATTACTACGTGGTATTCTGCCTCACTATCTCCAGGGTTTTGAAACCTTAAGCCTATAAAGTGTCTCTGTTTCACCTTTAAAAGCCCTTATGAACCTTTATTTAATTATTTTAGCTGAGGCCTCTTTATGTTCATTGTGATATCACTCCTCATTCTGTTTCCTATTTTGAGTTGCCGACAAAAATGGCCATTGTGGTGAAGTTTCATGTATACCGGATTCTGTGTTGTTTTATGTGTTTATTTTAAAGTGGTTGCCACCACAAACGACCTGGTATCGACGACGATGGGTAGATTTCGGTCACACGTTCGTAGTCCCTAACACGTATATCTTATTCACTGCTTTCACGTGGTGAGACTGCTCCTCACAAAAGTGGAAGGGAGAATTCAAACCTCTGGTGCTTATAACAGGACTGGTGGACGACTAGGTCTACCTAGGGAAGTCGGAAAACCCTAATTCCGAAATCTCTGGTGTACACAGACACCAGAATAGAAACGGACTAAATGGCGTATGGACTACGGTCAACCATAGGAACATAGCTGCTGACGCTGCTCCACTGCTTTGTGTATCATACTTTATGTAGACGGCTTAGGAGGTGACCGCTTAAAACAACCACCTACTTCGGCGTAGGAATCCAGACAGTATACCAACCGTCGCACAAAGTATGCGGTTTTGGTGTGGCGTATCTCTTAGTGCCCATAATGTACCGAGTTTGGCTTTTAATAACAATAACAATAATTCAAGATAGTGAAGTCGTTGACTGGTAATATGAGTAGAATATTAACAAATTACCAACATTTTGAAATTATTGTATGAAATAATAGAACTCAGTAGGTAAACATCGTCTGTGTTAGGATATATTCCCTTCTGGCTTGTAAGTTACACTTATACAAAGTACCTTATTCTAACTATTTCCAATTAAATACTTTTATTTTTCGAAATGTCACACTATCGAATAAATTAAACGGTTAATATCAGTTTAAGAATCATAAAAAATTACAGAGTACTGGAAAATGGTTGCTATTAAGTTTGGAAATCCTCAACAGTGTGCAGCAACAATCCCATCAAGGATCAAACCTCAGAACTTCCAGCTTACAAAGTGATCTTCTTTAACTATTCATCCACTGGGGTTGAAACATGATGTCCCGTACACTGTGACTTGTTAATTCGCGATAAAGCGAGTCACTAAAGAGTCCTAAACTGGGACGAAACAACCATCCATAAGCTCTTCAGTTTCCAATAATTCTCTAAGCGATATCACTTCACGACGAAATCTACATTGAAACTGTTAATTAACTAAAACGTACATGTACTTTACACCGCAATAACAACGTCAATGTAAGGATATAATGATGTATAAAATGTAATTTAATATATGTATATATTCCAAAGAAAAGACTCTTCTTGAGGTGGTTACAAGTGTGTATATTGAAAAATAATTCTCTTACTTATTAGTCATACACTAAAAAAGGAAGTAAGAGTAAATCTGTATGGAGGACGTGATAAAATGTTGTAAAACATAAATAAAAGTTTTTAAAAGAAAATGCTTCTGGCATGTGATCGGTATTCACAATACAATTACAAATAAAAAAAAGGTAGTAAGTAGTAAAAGACAGAAATGTCATATAAATTGCAGACTTTATTACAATTTGTCCAATTTCATATCCATTATTGATGATAATAAAAGATCATCCATAAGTGCTTGTTGTACACCCCGATCATCTAGACGTAATCGTATCCGTCGTAAACGTGCAGGTGTGCCTAGTGTAGCTTTAATTGAATACCGTGGACCAGTAAGTTGAATAAATCCACGCGAATCAAGAAGATCGCAGACAGCAGATAATTCGGATTCATCTAAATTTGTTATTTTTTTCTTTTTACAAATAGTTGTATACGTTTCATACAGCATATTGAATGATAATTCACGTAAACTTTTCTGTTGTCTTAACAGAAGACAACTGGCTAATAAAAGTTTATGATGTAAAGGTAGTTCAGAACTGTTTGCTGTTGTAGCAGTTGTTGTAGTACCATTGCTATTGAATGGTGTTGCTGGCCGAGGTGAATCAACCTAATAGAAGTAGAAAAAAAGAATTACATTTAAAAGAGAAATGCAATTTGAAAAGAATAATAAAGTATAATCATATATCAATAGTTTACACACAATGATAAGTTCTGTTATTGGTAATATTTCGAGCAAAATTACTGCCCGTGTTCACATCACTGTTGGAATTGTTTTATATCACACATTTATGATTTGTACTCATATATATATAGTTCATTATTTTTTTCTTCGTCCATTCATGTTTTTGTATTCAGAATTATATTCCAAGTTGTTGATAGTTGTGCTGCTGAGTCACCTTTGTTACATGTATCCGGTGTGACCTTAATGAATATAGATTCTGTTATAAGTCTCTCTTTTCATTTGTTCATGTTAGTTTTTAGAATACACACATTATTCCAATCGATATTGTGGTTTATGTCCCATGCATGTCCAGCTATCGATGAATTTTTTTCAAGATTCTTGTAGGCTTGTGTTCCTGTTGGTTGACCTTAGGTTAGGCGTTTATGTTCATTCACTCTTATTTTGAGTGATCTGGACGCTTGCCCCACATATTTAGTCGGACAGTCAGCACAAGATATTTTGTGGGATCTTTCAGTGGATTCGTCGGTTTAAACGTTGTTCGAATGCCGATGTTTTTGAGGTTTCTTTGAATTGCCTCTGATGTACCACTTTTTATATGGTATTGTGACTGTTTTCTTCCACTCTTCCATCTTATTATTCTCCGGTTTTACCCTCTTTTTTTTCTTTTTTACATTATCTTTTATAAATTCTTTAGGGTAGTTGTTTCCGAGTAGCATTTTGAATAGGACTTTTATTTCTTTACACTGCTCCTCTGGTGTTGTTGTAAGTCTACGTATTCTATCTGCAAGACCTTGTATCAATCCTCGTTTTACCGTGAGTGGATGAGCTGAGTGATTATCAAGGAATCTTCCAGACTGTGTGGTTTTTCTGTATATAGCCGTTTTTATGCTACCAACTGTCATTCTTTGTAGTCTGCAGTCTAACACAGGCAGTTCCCCAATTTCATTCTCTAATTCCATAGTGAATTTTATTGAGTCGACGTGGCTGTTTATGTGTGAGAAAAGTTTCTCAGTATCGTTTTTTTCACTATTACTAGTGTGTCGTCTACATATCTCCACCAACATTTTAGTGATGATCTGAATGCTTTAAGGGCATTCTCTTCCCAATAATCCATGAATATGTCAGCTATTATTGGTGAAAAGAATAAACTATTTAAAACGATAAGCAACAGGAGATTGCTAAGAGAGATTTACACAAGCTGACTAATGAATGACTGCCAGATAGTAGCCATTATGGCAAGCAAATAATCACCCAACAGTTTTTTTTTCCTTCACGTTCCCAGTGGAATATAGGGCCTCAAGCTAGTGGCTTGAAGTTTCTGTAGCAGTGGTGGTTGTTTTTACAGGATGGGGTTGCTAGCCTCATGCCCAACCTTTCCTCTTCACCAGCATTATTTCTGGCTTAGCGAGGTAAAGGTGTGCGTCGGCGGGGGACCGAACCCCGGACCATGTGTATGGTCGGCGAGCGTCCTAACCACTGTGCCACCGACGCACTAATAATCACCCAACAATGAACACCAATACAAATAGACTAGAGGGTGTGAAAAAGAAGCAACGAATCACGTTCAAGGTCACCGCCAGGAGAGATAACCAATAAACTCGTGGATAAATTTAAAAGCTCACTTCAAATTGAAGTATGCGCTGAAGATGTTGACGAGTAAGGCGATAGATAACAGCTTCGCAAGTAAATCATCCAACTCAAAGAACACAACTACATCGAAATCATCCATCTGATGCACTGCATTTGCGACACTAAATGCAAATGAGTAATTAATAAAAAGTCATCATCACTAAGGTCTTGTAACTAAAACTAGATAAACTCACAACATGGGTAGGCCAATCACACATTAACCTATTATGTTACAGCCCTTAAGAATGAGTTCAGTTGTGGTGTCAAGCGCCTACCACAGTTCAAGAAGTTTCTGGTGGAATAAAGATAAAGACGGGGGGCGGCCTTGATTAAATCACTGAGCTACCTAAATTTTCAATCCATCAAAATGTATTCTTTTGAATATATAGCGTGAGCTTGAACTTTTGGATAGCTAGTGCCTCAGCTATGCAGGTTTGATCGGATCTTGTACAGAACTATTCAAATGGAGCTGAATGTCCTGAAATCATCAGATGTTCTGTTACGGAGCTGTGTATATACGCACACACCTAGGTTCTCCCCTTGCTATCCAGGATGGATAGTGTTCCCGAGTGCGTTTCACAAGTGGACGCATGGTACGGTCAATGTGCTCAGCTCCACAAGGGCAAATGAACTGGCATATGTGTGTTGAAGTAGCCCAAAGCGACAGCTTGTCCTTCATTTGCTGGTTGGAGTTTCTTGCAAGAAAACGTCATTCGTAGGCTGACAGTGAAGTTTGTTTTACTGAAAAATTTCAAAGGCTGTTTTCGGAGATTTTCTCCTTGAGTATCACTTTTAAATTCGAGATTAAGCAGCAGCATCCTTTTGGGGGCGAACAGGATCTGTTCAGAAGCTTTCTTTGCTTATAGTTTCTTGTCTATGAATCTGGCTGGTTAGCGAAGGGAAGGCTTAGGCGTGCATAAAGCTCGGTAACAGGACATCTGATGAATTCAGGATATTCAGCTTCACTTGAAAAGATATGATCAAGCCTTTCGAAGGGAGTGAGGTTAAGGCACCTCAGCATAGCTGAGGTACTATCGATCCAAAAGCTTAAACTTACGCTATGCAACCTTTGTCTTTACAACGGCCATTATAAACAATCCACTCTCTCAATAGTGATTATCTTATTGCGTTTTTTTCTGTCAAATGCGTACTATCTACTCCACTTCATATTGTTTTAATCATCTAATTCCATTTGTGGATCGTACCTTTACCTAGATTTAGATGTTTCAGTAACTAATAAAGCGTCAATCAGTGGATTAATCTGGAGATCTCTGCTTAGAATTTAATATCAGTCCAACTTTATTTCCACCCTCAATCATCACTCATTATGCCAAACTATCCTAATTTATATTTCCAAGTGTTGTTTTGTAGAGATTTCATTGGTTTCAGTTAAAGAACCACTGAAAAACAAGGAAGAAGTGGACAGATGTTTCGTCCTACTAATAGCTTCTTCACAGTATACACCCATTATCCCGGTAGTAGTGATCGAACCTAGGACTTCCGGGTTACGAGGACAGCCCGTTAATTGTTCAACTAATGCAACGAAATCCAATGAAATTCTAACTTCTGTCCATTTATCATGTATAGCACCACTGCTAGCCAACGTGATCAGTGTATATTTGTCTTCACACTCAATTTAGTGAACCCCACTAAAACTCCAGGAACACTTCATCCAGTTCACGATCTAAATTAAAATCAATCGAATCCTTACAAAGCAACACTTAAAAGTCAATTTATTGTTCACTAGTGATTACGGTAGGGTCATGGGTGAGTACTACTGACGAGTCCCAAACCAGGACAAAACAGCTGTCCAGTACTCCGTGGTTTTCAACGGTTCTCCAACTGAAGTCAGTTGATAATCAAAAGTGAAATATTTTAAATTACCCAAAATAATCACTAATGAATCAAATTCTGGATCTTTAGGGATTTCAGTTAATTTCAATATACATTTTATTACGAGCAGTTAGACAGTAAGTGAAAATCGAGGAGCACACTGAACATCTGTTTCATCCGGCAGGGTCTACGTTATCATGTGTGTAACAGATGCCCTTCAATAACATTGGTTGAAGGTGAAACCACATGACGAATTAACAGAAATCAGAATTTACTGGACATTGAATTCCAAACTATCGACTGAAAGGTCAACGACCTTGTATCGTAAACTGAAAATTCTGGGTCTGGTCCTTGGACGTAAACTGCTGAAAAGTGCTAGACTGCGTAGAAACAATTTTCCAGGACTCCTTGATTTTCAATGATTCTCTAACTGATGTCCATCCGTGACATTCGTGGTCGGAAACTACTCATCTGCTAACGTGTCTCACATGAATTAGAACGTTTGCGAGGTAAAAAGTTGTTAGCAAGTTGGATATGGTGATAATAGCTTAAATATTAAGTTAGTGTTGACAATCTTTAGAATTTGATACCATAATACTGCTTATTATGCACTTTTTAACTTCGTATATCAGGCCCCTGTTAACACATTTTTCTCACACTATTTACCCTGTTGTTAATTATAAGAAGTTAGATAGTTGAACTTTACTGTAATCAATGCAGTCTGTTAAAAGGTCCTACGGAAAAGTTCCTCTCAAATGAATATTGTACGAATATATTATATTACTCCACCTGTGGCTCACTGGTCCAGGAGTTTGATAATGACCGGCTACCACCAGGTCACGAGTATGAACGCCGCTTCACCTAATGCGCTTTGCGTAGACAGGTAATATCATTAGACTTTACACTGTAAGTGTGGCTTATCGTCAACTGAATGGAAATCAAAGAGGCTATCAAGGAACACTTACTCATTCAATCAGCCCTCCGCGACAGATATGAGCTAGTGACAATAGACACTCACCAAGGATATCCGAATGCACACCAGTTAAGACCTGAGTTTTCATTAATACATAAAAAAGAATTATTACCGTAGATACATGCAGTACAAAAGTCTTCATGGTATACAAGTGGATGTAAATCATATATCTAAAACCGCTAACGATGCACTAGTCTCCCCTGTAAATCAATTATTACAACACAAATGAATTCTCGATAACTATTGCAATTTAAATCCAAATGACTTACCTGAGATTCTTTCAAAGCTCTACTGATGTGTTGTATTGATGGAGTTCTAGGAGAATCGACAGCTGAATTTAATGGAGTAAATTTGTTAGGCATATCTTTTAATCGTGCTTCTTGATGAGCTAAATCGATGGCTCTGCGACATATATCCAGTGCAGTACGTGCATCTCCTGTAGACGCAGCAATCTAAAAGGGTGGTAGAAAATACTTTGTTTTTGTAAAATTAGTGACCAGCATATCAATGAGCATTACTCATTCACTGGAAACATTTCAAAATACTACGAGATGTTTCAACAAATAATTTCCCCTTCCTTTAAATATCAACATCAAATCATCATCTCTCAATAAGGTGTTTCCATCCACTACACCTACTTGTTACTAGAGAATAGTAAATCCACGATTCATTTTACTATGGACCTAAAACAAGAGTTAATATACCCAGATCTTGAGGAAAAATCTTGTTTTCAAAATAAATCTTGTTACAATTTTTACATAGGTAGAGGAGGCAGTTAGTAGGAAGATTCAAATAAAGCATTTAGTATTACAGGGTTGGAGGCGATTGGCAGAAAGCCTTGGACCTAGGTTTCGTGCCAGTTGGCCCTTACAAGTCAGCAAGGCGTTTCTGCAACCTTGAAGGAACTCATGTCCCTTCTTAGATTCCAACCCACGTCACCCAGTGAGTACTGCAGTCAGAGATGTTACCACTGAGCTATTCGGGCTAGGGATTGACCTCCTGTAGGACTGTAGTGGATATTTTTGATCTGACACTAGTAACCAGTGTGATCTGTCTAGTCCTCTGATTGGTGCAGACTGAATTCTATCAGTCAGGTTGTAATGTAATTGCCTCCAACCATCTAATATGATCAAATCAATGTGCACCGTGATGGCGAGCTACCTAGAATGGTGGCCACATTACAACCTGACTGATAGAATTCAGTCTGCACCAATCAGAGGACCAAACACATCATACTAGTTACTAGTGTCAGATCAAAAAGCATCTAGTGCTGAAGGAGTATATCACCGTGAAAAACGGGTAAATTAGTCTACTGACACAAAGGAAATAATAAGCATAAGCAATAGAACACTTTGAAAAACATTTCACTATCCAGTAGTAGTCTGAATAGCTTATTCAAGAGTTCCAAACAAACAGAACAATATGCTTTGTTGACTGACTGGCTGGTTTCAACGTAGAACTTTGCACCGATGTGCTGCAGTTCGAGTCGCCACACTCCATGTAGCACACAAAGCAAGAGAAGAAAGTAAGGAGAAATGCATAATAGAGACAGTAAACAGAGACATGAGGCAAAAAGAATAATAATATCGAAGAACAATATAGTTCTACTGAAAATTATAAGTCACAAGGAGTGGATGCATCTGCGCCACCATTGAGAACGATTTTGAGCCATATCACCAATTGTTTCCAGCCATTGCTCTTCTTATTATACCATTTTACACGGGAGATAGAATACATGCACCTATGATCAAAGTCAGCTAGCCTTTTCATGTCTGCCACTCTTAATGGTCAGGTTCTGATGAATTAGAAACAAAATAATACAAAGACTGATTATGGGTTATATTACTAGATAGATTAAGCTTTAGCTGGGGTATAAGAACCAGACATGATTTTCGCGGACTAATCCCAATTGTTTAATGTCTTTTTCCTTTCATACAGGAAGAAAAGAAAAAACTCTCTTTTGTTAATTCAAATGATTTTTTTCCAGAAGCTTAATCCCTATATTTTGCGGTGGTAATATTCTTAAATGAATGCAAATTGTGCTCGAAAGATCATCAGTAAACATTACTGTAAAACACTATGAGACTTTATCAAAATACAATTTATCCATAATGGAATTATACTCTACCATAGTGCCTAAGTTATATTCTTATATTTTTGTGAATGACACAGAAACTGATGTAGAATTCTGTCTGTCTGTCTGTCTGTCTGTTTTCGACATAGAACTTTGCACAAATGTGCGGAAGTTCAAGTCGCCACATTCCGTGTAGCACGCGAAGCAAGAGAAGAAAGTACAAGAAAAGCATAATAGAAACAGTGAGCAGAGGTGTGAGACAAAGGAGTAATAAAGAAATACAAAACAGTTTCATTGAAGATCATAAGTCACAGGGAGTGGATGCATCTGCGCCACTGAGAACGGTTTTGAGCCATGTCACCAATTGTTTCCAACCATAGATTTTTACCGTCCCGAGGACCCCAGCCTGGAAGTCTACACCTTCCTACGTGGCTTAGACCAACTGTTGTGGATTTCATTGACTGATGCCAAGTTTTTGTTTGACCGCCGCTAGCTTTTTTCCAGCCTGACCCTATATCCGCTAACATAGCTCGTCGAGGGAGGCGATGGCTTGGCATACGTAACACATGTCCTAACCATCTCAGTCTATGTAACTTCATAACCTCGTCGATTGATTTCCCCTGTTTACCTAGGACTCTACGCCTAACCTCAATGTTGCTCACCTTACTATGCCACTTTACACGGGAAATAGATGTAAATGATGTAAACCATTTGTGATGAGGTTTACTAAACACTGACTAACTAAAGTGATTCAAACTCACGTAGCCGTGTAGGAGCTTATGGGGAATTGTCATCTGAATTGATAACAACCAGTGGTGTCCGACAGGGATGTCCACTTTCCCCATTTCTGTTTAACTTCATCATAGATATGCTAATGGAAGTATCCTTAACTGAACTTAACGACTTAGGAATCAACTTGTTACCAGGGAATAGTCTTATGGACTTAGAATATGCAGATGACATAGTCCTGTTAGAGGAGGATGCTGACAAAATGTAGAGTCTTCTGAACACCTTGAGCAGCAATCTTCGTATGTTTGGCATGCAATTCGCCCCCACAAAATGTAAGATGCTGCTACAGGACTGGACTACATCAACTCCTAGCTTAGTGATAGGGAGTGAAGTGATAGAACATGTTGACCACTTCACCTTTTTGGGAAGTTGTATCAGCACCAACGGCCTGATTAGCGACGAAATCTCAGCACGGATCCAAAAAGCTCGAGCTTCTTTCGCCAACTTACACCATCTCTGGCGTAGGCGTGACATCCGGCTGGCTATCAACCAAGGGACGTGTGTACTACTCAGCAGTTCGCTCCGTCCTTGTCTATGGCTCTGAAACATGGCCAATACGAGTTGAAGACATGAAAAGGTTGACTGCTTTCGATCATAGATGTCTGCGATCTCTGTCTCACGTTAGGTGGTATAATAAGGTAAGTAATGCTGACGTTAGGCGTAGAGTGTTAGGCAAAGAGGGAAAGTCAATCGACGAGGCTATAAAGTTACATAGACTAAGATGGCTAGGTCACGTGCTGCGCATGCCCAACCACCGCCTCCCCCGACGGGCATTGCTACCTGATATAGGTGCAGGTTGGAAAAGAGCCAGTGGTGGCCAAACAAAAACATGGCATCAATCCATGAAATCCTCGACGACAGTTAAACTGAGTTGGTCAGGTAGGGAGATGCAGACTCCCGGGTTGGGGCCCTCAGGACTGTAGGAATCAATGGCTGGAGACAATAGGTGACAGTGGATCAAAATCGTTGTCAATGGCCAGTGCAGATGTATTCAGTCTCTGTAATCTTTCATATTCCTTTTTACCATTACTCATTCTGTTTCACTCTTATACTTTTGAAACTCTATTAATTCTCTCCACTCATCTTCTTGTCTACCTTTGTGTGCTATTTGGAACGTGGCAACGCGAACTGCCACACTTTGGTGCCAAGTTCTATGCTGAATCCGGACAGACAGATTGGGTAAGTATGCTATACATATTCACAGTTTAGCTTGACACAATGCCACTTGTTTATATTGATGATACGCTGCCTATAATTCTTGATAAAAATACTAACAAATACTATCTGTTAAGGGAATTTAATAGCCTCTTCTGCACTCAGTATAAAGAACAAGATTAGGATTTTCAACACAAATGTGAAGTTTGTCAGTCACTCCCTCTACACGGGTTAGAAATTTGCGCGGCGTGTCACAAAAAGGATTTCCAGCAGACTACAGACTTTTATCAACAGCTTCTACCTTCGCCGGCTGGCTCCATACAGAAGATCAAATGGCTAAGAAGAAAAGTAACAAGAAACTCTGCCTGGCAACAAACCAGCCAAAAGGCTATCGCTCAACAAATGTGTAGGAGAAAATGGGGATGGATGGGGCATACTCTGAGGAGAACATCAAACGACATCGCGCTCAGTGCAAACCATCGCTCGAGTGAAATCTAAATGGGAAGCGACGAGTGGGTTGTCGATGCGAGCGTGACATGGAGCAGATCGTTTGAGGAAGAGAAGATGAGAGATTATGGTCAATCTTGGAACCAGCTGAAGAAGACAGCAGAGTATAGAATAAAGTGAAGATGTGTTGTTGAAGTCCTGTGTTGCAATCGGAACCCAAAGGAATAACAATAATAAAGGGAATTTAATGAACATGAATCACTTACTTTTACTTGTAAAGAGTAACAGTAAAATATTACACTTTATAGATGTTCAAATAAGTAGATGAACAAACGACTTGCTAAGGACAGAGATATATAAAAAAGCACGCCAATGGTGTTACGCTTCGTTTATCATTTTGAAACTGAATAATCATCATTGCTCAAGCGAAAGATAAATTACCTAATCGAGTCACCTCTGTTTGCATTTATAAATGCTACTTTTCCGAAGAAGAAAGCTCCCTAGAGTGAACCGGGAAACTTCACATAGCACAATTTTTAGTAGTTGGGAAAGGATCTAACGAAATCAGTGGGAAGTTGCATTATTCTTCAATTGATTGATAAAGGTGCGTCGGTGGTATAGCGGTTAGTACGCTCGCCGACCATGCATATGGTCCGGGGTTCGATCCCCGGCCGGTGCACTCCTTTACCTCACTGAGCCAGAAATAGTGCTGGTAAAGAGGAAAGGTTGGGCATGAGGCTAGCAACCCCATCCTGTAAAAATTAAACACTGCTACAGAAACTTCAAGCCACTAGCTTGGAGCCCTATGTTCCACTGGGAACGTGAAGGAAAAATTATTTATTATTATTTAATCAGGTAGACAAAAAAAAGGCCTTCAAGATTATTTACCGTATTCCATCGAACCTTTCGAATAGAAATTAGAACTAGTTCCTTCAAACATATCTGAAGCTTTGGCAATTTGGAAAAATAAAACCAATATGTAAAATACACAAGAGTGCATTCTACCTTTGTTCCTTCCATTGGTCAAGGCAGAACTTAGTAACGGAATCTGTCATAACTATTTTCCACACATTTATTATATTCATTTAAGCGCTGGTTACATATTTATCTCGGTATCACGCAACCTTCGACTTTATAAGATTTATCCTGATTTTCAGCCTTGTCGACTACTTCTAATTTTGTTATCATCACTGATGTTATTGCCAAGATTATTATCCTAGTGTCATGACTTTTAAGATCCTACAACAATTAACTGTAATCACTAATCCGCAAATCACTGCAACTGGTTAGAAGTGCTTTTGGAAGTGTGTGGGCGGTTGTTACATCCCGGCTGCTCACACCGTGGAAGTTGATTGATTCTTCGGGTACCTGAAACAGGAAGAGTTAGTGTTGCGTGACCACAGAGCCCAGGGGACAACTACTTGAGGCCGGTCACACACGGCCTGTATGAACTGGTTTCTGGGATTGGTTCCGTATTAGTAAACTTACCACCGGTCACGGAACACCGTAGGGTAAATCGAGATGTACAGTTTTTGGGATCAACCTTTTCTAACCCCCTCTCTCCGGAGTGGAGAGACAGCATAGCTGGCATGCTGGTCATCTGAGGGAAACACCTCACTGCCGTTACACCCCTGTTCCCCAGCAGTACGACTTCACCCACAGACCCCCAGTATAGTGTAAGAAAGATTCTTACACTATGCCGGTAATTGCTTTTAGTCTAATCGATATCCTAACAACTTTTCTGGCATGGTGGGACCTGCAGGAACATTGGTTCCAGCCAGTGTAGCTTGTTGGGTCATCCCGATATGCAAGCCCGACTACCACGTCAAGGTAGCAACTATCGGTCGGGATTAGAACTTTTAAATAAGCTTAGAATAATGGATCTAATTCAATACAATATTCTTCGCGTACATTTCGTGTTTTGATTTCAACAGTGGGAATTTTTAATATTTTAACGCAGTTTACAATTGTTTTTATACACACTGTTGGCAAAATGTAAAACCAAACACTGAGAAATCAATCGTGAAATCTCACGCACTTTTTACTAAACTACACTCACATTGAATGTTAGTTTTCAGAAAGTAGGTAGAGAGCCCTAGACTTAGATTTTGTGACAATTGGCACTCATCGGAAAGATGTGATTCTACAACCACGAGGGAACTAATGTCATTTGGGAGACTCAAACTCGGACAACTAAGTGCCTCGGTCAGATACAACATCAATGAAAACACTGATAAAATCAGTTGGATTCTAGTAGTTAACAGATGATAACTTCAATCCATTTGGCACTAACTATTAGCCTAAGACAAAAACGTCAGTTTCTCCTCTCAAAGTATAAAACCGTCTTTGACAACAAGTTCGCAGAGCAAAGAACTTGCTTAAAGTGTGCTAAAATCATGCATATATATTGTAAACAGAATAGCCTACCTTTCTAGAACACAGTTGTATTGCAAGAGGTTCCATACACGATCCGTTGTTCACAGTTCTAGACAAATGAGCTTGGACAATTTCTGCCAGTTCAGATCGTGAATAAGGTCGAAATACAATATGTACAGGTTTGTAAGTTTTCGACTTCAGCTTTGGCAATAGACGTTCTGGTAAATCTAATGAGTTTGCCACTCCAATGATAATAATATGACAGGAAAGTTTCGATGGCCATTCAAAAATTCTATTGAATCAAAAACAAAATATGTAAACATGTGCAGATAAAAAAATAAATATTAGTAACGAACCGATTAAAATTATAGAATGAATAAAGTATGATGCAACTCAATAACCTTTGTATATTATGTGCTAGACTAGAACCATTATGCACCGCAAGAATTACGACAATATCCAGCTGCTCCGACAAGAGAAAATGCAGAAACTTTCGGACTGATGACTTTCCACCTGCCTGATAAATGGAACCGTATTCTAAAGAGCGATATTTCTGCATATCTAGCTGCAGCCTCGAAAAGTACTGAGTTAGAACTCGGTTAATCTTAAGATTATTTGCCGTGTTTGCTCTACCTAAACATTAACAGTTACACGAAGCCGTTTAGGGTCAAAATTTACTTTACAGCATTAACTTGGTACATTATCATCAAAGAATTACTCCCTTGTTTTCTGAGTTGAGATCTCAATAATAAAAACCCTTAAACTTTACATACCTACCTTCGACCACCATGTCTTAACACAGTTGTACAGTGAGAGAGAGCAAACTGCTAATCATTCGAAACTAGTCAGGTAACTAAATGACGCATACTGGCAGATGTCAAACGAGCCCCTTTGTATCCCTGCTGAGGTTTCATCAGTCCACCACAACTTTAGCATCATTTTACAATTGACATGGGTGAGCTGCATGCAAAGAACACCCAGATTTTGTCTTTAGGGATTAATAAAAGCGCATTTTATCAAAGTCCTGATGTATGAAGGACTGCATCGTATGAACGCTCAAAATCATTGAGATCTTTCTCTTATGGAGTGAATTCCTGCGAAGTCAAAGTTAGGTAACCTCCCGCTGGCGAGTGGTGCGGCATGGGTTTCACTAAATTACAAATTTCCGCATATGATACATTCATCACTAAACTAACTACCTCAGGTGTTGTAGAAACACCGAAATATTTAAGTTAAAAACTTGTTTTTGCTTTACAGAGGTTAGATATCACTGCAAATAATAAAAATAGAGATAACATATTTTACAGCTCATCCCAACAAGGTGCTACAGCACAAGGATAGTGTTTCAGAAGAACACGCTGCCTCCTACATTTGAAAAAATACTCCACATGCAGAAATAAAAGGTGTGCCGGAAGAAGAAGGGAAGTGGAAATAATGGACGAATATACCTAATCATTAAATAAAAGGTTTACCAGATGAAATAGTCGCACCAGCATTTGTACGAAATGAATTAAAAAATAGCCAGGCAAGGTAAAAGATAAAATCACCTGTAAAGTAATTCTTGCCCACGGGTAGACAGTTGATCTACTTCATCTAGAATCAGAATGATGGTTCTTTTTTGTGAGTACTTATTCAAATAACACTCTAAAGAAGCAGCGTCTGTGACAGAATAATTTTCTTTATCTCCATAACCTTTCAAAATTGCAGCTATTCGTGAAAAAATATTTGTACATGAAGTTAGCTGCATACAGTTAACCATTGCAGTATCACATCCGCCGGCTTTATTGAAATTCTGAACCACATGTAGTACAACAGCTGTCTTTCCAGTTCCCGGAGCTCCACTGACATAAAAACTTGCGCTTTTTCTTGTATCAATATAGGACTGAATTAAAGAAGTTAAGCGACTAATTTCATCCTTTCTCCCAACAATTAAATCATTAACTTTGTCAGATGAAGGCTGGTTGGTCTTATTGGGGATATGAGATTGACATTCTGTACTAGAAGGGCTGCGATCAGTAGTTGAAGATATTTCTTTTGGAATATCAGGTGTCTTGGATTTATCTGGCGTATGCACTAGGTCTTGCTTAGGTGACTTCGAGGCAGTAGATGTATTCACTTCTTCAGGAGTGTCAAAGGATTGTAATCTTTTTGTCTGAGTAAGACGTCGAGTGGGTGTTTTTGTTATAGCGGATGACACTGAGGGTAATACAGAAAATACTCTTTTATTGCGCTCTGGTCTAGGTGTAATGTTTTCTGATTTGTTTTCCCGGATGCTAGATCTCAAAACACGGCTCATATTTGAATGTAATATAATTTTCTACAAGTTGTGGGTGGTCTTCTTTGAATAGGTTAAAATGAAAGCTACAAATATAAAAACGATAAATTTCATGAAATGAACAATACTAAAAATCTGATGAGAATACATGAAACCTGATCAAATGACAAACAACATAGAACTTGTCTACCTATCTTGCACGAGCTCATCATTACTCTTCGATCTTGTCACTTATTACATATCTGAAAAAGATTTGAGTGTGTATATATTATCAGGAAAAAGATGAAACAACCTTGAGTGTAAACAATATTACTTTATTGTGCAACAATGCTTAACTTTCTTAATCGATAGTTTATTAAGTTTCAACAACGCATACAACTTGTGTGTAAATATGCCGATAAGCTCATACTGGTGTACAAACCACTAAGAGCAGCTAAAGTTAGTAAATCCGAATAGGGATATAAGTGTTGATGGTGTTTTAGATAATATTTTCAGCGGTCTCAGTAACCAGTGCTCTTTGTTTTAGTATGTCTTTACCAAAGATTGGTACGAGAGTGACTCTCGCAAGTGAACCATCAGATATAGTTGAAAAGTTTGTATAGCTACGCATTTAAGTGGGTGCTGGTGGATCTGTAATGGACGAGATTCCTAAATGTTTATTGCAAGCCTGGACTGCATCCACACTCTTACATTATCGCAGTTTTTTTCTGGATAACAAAGGAGCTTTACATGTTCCTGTAAAATTTATTTACTCCAAGTTAAACACGTCTAGTGATTACATATTTGTTCGCTGCTGTTTCAGTCACATCACCTTTGACCGTGATTGTGTAAGTAATTTTGAGCTCCAACAACATGTGCTTGGATATGATAAAATCATTGGTGAATACGAGTTTCACTATTTGCTGATACGAATAGCATCCAAGCACCTTCAGTACAGTTCTCTGTCTTCTAATCAGCCCACGAAGTGCGAGATAAGAGGAATAATTCTGTTGAGTTGGTACTTGTTTAAGGAACAGTCTTCAGGTTGTGTTCTATTCCTGGTGTCTCATTATTAATGCTTCCATGAGGTAGTTATAAAATTTAAGCTATTATGAGGTTTGAGGACAACTATCTATGCCTTACAGAAATACTTACTGAAAACATGAAGTCACCTATAAATAATAAGTTCCGCAGTGACTTCCAAACAAATAATTACTTTTGGAGTTAGATGTAGAAGGAAAAATACCAGTTGTCAGCCCACGACCTGATGCTGTGAGTTAACAGATATCCTATTTTGGTTGATAACTTGGATTTCTCTTAACTGCTTTCTATTGATCTACCTAAAATGTAGCACCATAGTTATATTCTAGTTTACCGATACCTGCGGTGTACCAAGTTTGTCTCACACATTTTAGTTAATAATATCAACTGACGAATGAACTACAGAATAGATAAACGATTAAACACGTTATCTTAAAGAATATGATAACACTAAGGCACAAGTATTCGCGCCGCCTTAGCAAAATTTTGGCGACGATCTCCGCCGTCTTACAATTCCAACTACCAAACTTTATGCATGCTAATACTCAATTCTGAACCTCGTGAACTGACAATATGACTTAGTCCGGTTAATTTTCTTACACACTGATCTTACTAAGAAATAAAATCGCACTAAAGTGAATGAATGACATAACTCAATCGCTGAGTTTTAACGAGCAATCTACTTTAACTAATTTTCGAAGATATGTGGAGCCAGGTGACTAACATTTTTAGATGGCCTGGACCAATGATCAATGAGTACAGAATGATACCATGTCACGATCTAAGCCTTATTAAGCTTTGTACAGCTTGAACTTTCGACACGATGGACTAAATGGTGAGTAGAGATTTAGCATACTTCACACTTGCGTAGTACTTTTGATTCTTGAAGAGCATTTTGATGTCAGTCGTTTCACTGTGTCTTCCTTAACTCCTATCTACATTTCGTTCTTACCTGCTAAACGAAGTGAAATTTACCTACATCACTACTCAGAGTTTAGTGGGGAAAGTTCCTCTGACTGCATATGACATTTAAGACTCGTAACTAAAGTCATTATTGAAATTGAAGCTTAAGGAGATTCCTTACTATTTAAAAATATGAAACATGTGTAAAAAGAGTAACTAAGTTATGAAAGCTTACGGTGTTATCCCGTTTAAGAAATCATATTTCCAAAACAAGCAAGAGCATCAAAGTTTGTATGATATTGGATGATACTACAGTACTGCAAGTACATCTGTCTACTCACCAAGTAATACGTAATCTCTCTTTATAATCGGTCCCAATATATTTATCAAAATCGATTGATGAGTACATGTGGCCAAGCCATAATACTATCTGTATTACAAAAGTCCTTACACACGTCTCAATCACAGAAGTGATTGGCTACGGTTAAACGTCCAATGCCATAAACAAACTTCAGAACTATTAACCAGTTAATACATGATTTCAAAAAGTAAGTCAACTCCTATGGACATTAGTTTAATCACGATTACTTTACTAAAGAAAAGTGTAAAACCACCTCAACATAAGATTTTTAGCACATACGATGGATAAATTCACTATTCCCCTTCTCCAGAAACATATACATGAGGTATGAGAAAACTAAGCTTGAACTTTTGTTATCTTATTTGGGATGAATACAGCTCTTCTTTCGATGTATAAATATGGTTTTCTTGGGAAATAAAAAGATAGTGTACTGTGCGTCGGTGGCACAGTGGTTAGGACCCTCGCCGACCATGCACATGGTCCGAGGTTCGATCCCCTGCCGACGAACACCTGATATCTATGATCGGCCTGCAAAATTTGGGCTACCGATATCCATTCTGAAAATTCCATACTTGTAACAAAAATACGGTGTGGAATCAAGCTGTAATCAAAAATATAAATATTGTGTTTCTCTGAAACTTAATTTATTGGATATACAACAAACTGGTCTTGATACCAAGAACATTCAGGCATTCTAGTATAGATTCATATAATAAGGATAGTAGGCTCTTGTTGCCTATGTTAATATTTGCAATAGATATCTCTGCGGAGATCTAGTTTTTCTTTGAAAGCGTTCACGCATGGAGCTGTTACTACTGAATTAGGTAAGGATTTCCAGTCGTTGACCATCAATCGCACCCAGGCTTCCTCGACAGTCCGCTTTGTACCAACTGACTAGTCAGCTAAGTTTGAGGCGTCTTAGACTGCAGATGTTGGGAAGAGCAGATGTTGAACTATGTATGAGAGCATGAATCTTAAAAGTAGAAGTAATAACTGCTATCTAGCGGTGGAAGGCACTTAATGTCACCAACACTCACCTTCTGGCGGCTTAGCACCAAGTCTAGAGTAAATGGATCATGTTCAGGGTGGTATCGTGATGGTGCATCTCTATGCTGCACAACTGCACATTCAAGCACTGTCAGTGTAAGTTCTCTGTTGAAACAGGCACACAAGCTAGAAGTTAATTCCTCCCTGTTAACGTGTGGGGCATTAAAGTCATATACTGTTAGACGCCTATTTCTATTACTTTACGTCGTGAAGTGATTTAGTATGAAATCATCAGTTTGGCTGGCAGGGCTTCTATAAAAAAAACTCCAGTCGTCACAGTGCCCCTTTTAAAGTTAATGACAGCTTATGGCGCCACTAGTACAGCTACTGTGAGCTTCTGACATCGACCTAATTCTTATGTCATCCCAGAGGCATACGCTAACCCCACCACCTTTCCAACTACTTAGTCTATCTGCTCTAATGCAGATGTACCCAGGTATGACTGCAGTTAAGTCTACACTTACTGAACAACCACGTTTCAGTGATGGCAATTACATCAGGTTGTGGTCTTTCGGATAATATTCCCAATTCAGGGAGCTTATCCCTAAGACTACATGGGTTTGTATAGCATACTGAAAGGCCTAAATGTACATTCGACTTAAGAACAGAGGTCTTGGTAACATAGGTTTCCCAGACATCAATACCCGAAGAGTTAACAGTTTAAGGTCTTTCCCCCTTTCTCTAGTCGGGCCTTTAATTTTAACATGGCTTCTCTCCTTTTAATTCTATCTTCCAACGTCCAGAGAGTTCTTATTCTCAGCTTCTTATTCTTGATCTTAAATGTGTTATTGAGGATGATGCTTATTTCCATTTCTTCCCCCACTGCTACATTTAGTAGTCGTCAAGAGCTTTCCGTAGCATCGGTAGTCCGTTTGACGAATCTGACCCTTCTTCTGTGGACTCCACTTGTTTTCTTGGGAAGTATTTCACGAATAATGGAACTGACTGCTTCAACATCATCAGCATGTCGGGCAGCTGGGTCTGCTTTCTTAGAATCCTTTAAGTTCCAAATGATGATGCTGTCAGTTGAGTTCGAAGGTTTCGAAATCGTGTTAGCATTTACGGCCGTTGAAACCTTGTTACTGAGCCCAGTTATTTTCTCTTTCATATAGTTTTTCGGCTTCCTGCTTTTCGGCAATAACTAAGTGGAGTTAGTTTCTCCCACTTTGCTCTCGCCGCAGCTGGAGGTCTTTAGTTCACCAGGCCCGCTGAGCTTTGTTGTGGTAGTTTCAACACGTCTTAGAATGGTGACACTATTTTCCCCTTCAGATGTTTTGGATATTTTGCGTATCGTTGCAGGTTTTCGGGCACACCATGCTTCTTTTGTGTCTAGCGCTGCGGGATGTAGTTCTGTCCTAGTCTTATGACTCAGTCTAGAATCGTCATTCCTGGTATTGATTTCAGATGCTGGCTTTTTTCCTACATCAGAGATTTTTGTCAATTTTTTGCAAATAAGAAGTCCTACGGCCTCTCGAATGAGGACGGCCAACAGGCTGCTGTAAAATTTGAAAGCCCGTGGAGACTATGGCCTACTACATCTCCTATAAACCACTGCAAACTTTATGGAACCACAGGTTGCAGTTGTCACACTGCACGGAAAGTGGCAGTTCGGTCGTTCACATTTATTGGTGAGACTCATATCAGTATAAACTACTTAAATTACACATGTATTTATAATATATATATATATACATATATATACACGTCATTTTTATATCATTGTGTACATAGTGCCGCAAAAGTGGAAAAGGAACAGTCCTTAAAATAATTAAATTGGTTAAGGTAAACCAAAAAGCTTCTGATGCGATTTACGTAACACAGGAAAAGTTACTTCACAACGTAATGGAGGGGTAGAGCATGAAAAGCTGCTCTGCAGTTTAATTGCAAATTTTACTTAACAATAAGTAACGCAAAAATCAGTGGCCTTAAAACACATAAAACACCATCATATATAAAACTGTTAGTAGCCTATAGGTTAATAAGCTAATGATAAATAGGTTACCCGGGCTTGCAATAATTCTGAATTAATTTTCGCTAATTCTGAAATAACTAACATTCTGTAGTGAGTAAGCTCTGAATCTTTTCGAAATAGTTTTTTTTTGGGCGAACAGACTATAATGCAGTGCTAGTTTTTGGCACTACTCTCACAAATTTTTTCAGACGTTTTCAGGAATAGATCAAAACCCACTGGGTTTGCTAATCGGAGTTATTCCAGCCCTCACAGGACATATTTAGCACCAACTAGCATTACTTCAGAATATGAAGAATTAATTCAGCACATAATGGTAATTTTTGCAGCTTTATTTCAGTATTGAAGGCATTATTTCATCTGAAAATACTATTTTTAAGGTTTCGTCGCATCAATTAAGCGTTCTCTGCTCTTTTTAAGAACCACAGGCGTTATTTCAGGACCTACTGGGTTCAATTCAGGGATATAAAATATTCAGTTTCCATAAGAGCCGCACAGATTAGAATGAATTTAGAATTATTGTAGGCTTAATCTTACCCAATTGGGTACACTTCTCATTGGGAAACACATAACCTATGTTACGCCCTACAATCTGCATTAATTGCATTCCAATGCTCAAAAATTATAACTTTACAATGAAAATAACAACTACTCACTTATAACAACAAATAATGCAAATGAGGAGTGCATCAAGTTGAAAAATAAAGCCCGCACATTTCGCGCCTCACTCAAAACGGGCGGGTTTAGAATCTTTCTATACGATACCATGGCTTAAATATCCGAGATAAATTAAGATTACATGGGCTGTTAAATAGATTACTGGCAGACCACTAAACTTTGTGACAACGATTCAAAGGTTCATTATAATATTTTATTCTGCGCATAATGACGAACAGCTTAATGTTGACAAAGAGGTGTGTGGAACATGGACTCTCTTCATAGATAAATAATTCAAGGTGCCAACTATTTTCGCACCCCGTAATATGCAACTTTTGATGAAATGAGCGATAAATGCTAGGCTGTTATGTCGTGTTCGTCCTGTGGGGAACGGTTCATAGCTAAGCATTCAACGTCGCACTACGATTTTGATCTCGAAATTTATCTCGTGTTTCGACAATCAATTTGGTATTTTGATTTGCCTTCGGTCTACATAAAACAAATAGGAGTTTTGCGTTAGATGGTTTGCCTTGGTATACATCATATTCGGCGTAAACGTCAACCTCTCATGTCCTAAAAGTGGGTAAAAGACTACAGATCTACCCAATCACAATTCAGTCGCCACATTTTCGCTACTCCGAAAGTTGTTCGCGACCCTTGTATCACTTTAAAACTGAATAAGAGGTAAACAAAGTGTCTACAGCAAACATAATTACTGCATTTACTGGGTATATGAGTTTCATTGTTACCTTAAGAAACAAGTTAAGCATCATCCTTGAACGACTTGCAGAGGTATGAAATTCCCCAAAATTATTGATCATAAGAATCATCAGTAAACATTGGATGCTGATCCTTAGAGTTTAAGTCGACTTGTTTAGCTGAAGGCTTTCGGTCAAGCATCTCGCCATTCGGTACTCCATCGTGTCAATGTCGTGCACGATAACTAGCCAGCTTAGCTTCGGCTTCAATCCGCGATTTGGTTCCGAAGTATATATCGTAATTTGGACAACCGATTGTAGTCTTTTGCTTTGCCTTCGGTACGCGAGATTCAAATACGTTAGAAGTTGTTGGCACAAGATCTTGCGTTAACACACCCAGTACTGTTCGCGAACGTTTATACCGTCAACCTTTAAACTGGTGAGCCCAAACGCGAACTTCATCTTCCATAAATACGCAAATAACCCCGTTGAGTTCGTTCCTTTTTGTATTTGTTCTTGTAATATATTTCATTCGATATACTTTCCGTCATGAGTGATCCTAGTCCCAAGGTCATTCGTATTCGCTCAACTCCTAAAACCATTCAGCCCGTACCATACTGGCCAGATAATGCTGAAACGTGTTTTCAGATAGCTGAATCAGATTTTTGTGAGCATGGGATAACCGATCAACGTTCACAGTTCCTTGCAGTTATTCACGCCCTACCGCGGGAATTCAGCAAGTGTGTAACTTTACAGATGTCGAGTCCCAAGGTAAGTAACTCGTACGAGTTGCTCAAAGCATCCCTCCTCAGGAGAAACGTTCTCACGGACCGACAACGTCTGGACGAATTATTTCGTAGCATCGAGTTAGGGGATCAGTCAGCCGTGAGCATGCTGACAAGAATGAGAGAGGTTATTGGCCAAAGTCAGTTCGATGAAAAACTTTTTGAAGAACTCTTCTTATCCAAACTGCCACAGTCCCTGCAGACTGTACTTGTGACACTTCAGGGTGTCATTATAAATTCACCGGTTGCTGAATCGATAGTACCTCTCTGCATGTTTAACTGTATTCTAACCGCTGTGGTGGGCCTTCTGCAGATTATGTTGATAAAAACATCGTTTACGGTAAACTAACTAACGTTTTATAAGCTATTTTTACATTTCTGTGGGTAGCCCACCATATCAATGAAACGTAAGGCAACACTCAGTTTTTACGCGCATTTTCGACGAATTCAAACAATAATGGTGCCTAGGATTGTATCATATAAATTGTTTTAAACTATGTGTCAATGTAATTGAAGATTGAACGATCAATTCATGGTTGTTTGCTCAAAACCAACTTCCCCAATTTTCGTGGAGGCATCAATACGACAGTCATCGTCTCATCGGTCGCTGTTCAGAAAGAAGTCAGCAGAAAACCGTCAGAAGTAATATTGTGATTTATTATTGTAATATTTGTTCACAGACCTTAGTTGTAACAGTGTTTATATGTTGGTGTTACAATAAAGAATCCTCGAGTCGCCAATTGGTGTTTTGGTTTTTTCGTCCGTTATTACTAAGCGTTTCTGAGAAACTTCAAGGGACAGCGTGAGCCTGAGTGCGGCAAGAGCTGGGCATTAACGGTTTACGAGACGTGGCTGACACTATGCAAACTGTGTTTATTACCATTATTCCATTATCCTCCCTTGTATATATATATATCTTGTGTCAATGAAAAAAATCTGAAGATTCTTACTCCATGTGTACATTACTATATTGATGATGCCTGTCAACTGTCATGTGCATTAAAAGACAGTATATTATTTTAAGATTCTTTTTATTGTTATATTAGGGAACTGACTTCAAGCTCTGTTTATTTTCCCAAGTATCCGTAATTCATCCAACGAATACTTGGGTTTTTTTGTTAATGCGAAGTCAATATCCTTATGTCTCCTGATGTGGTCTATTGAATCACCAGTTATCAGATTTTTCCCACAAACTAAAGACAAAATGACAGCAACCGTAAATCGTGTAATTTAAACAATATTTATGCATGCCTATACAATTGATGTCCTACGTAGCTAGGAAAAATATGTACCTTATTATATTATCTTTACTAAATATGCTTACTAATCGTATGTGTAATTTATCGAATTGACGATGCCTGTAAACTGGCGTCCCTCATGTACAAATATGAGAATATATATTATTATTTAGCCATTTCTGCAGATAAGATTCTAGAAATAGCTAAACGGTCAATTCCTGAAATATGCTCGGTGGCCAAGCAGACTTCGAGTAAGGATACTGCAGTGATAGAGTTATGCAACTCCATCTAGCAGATGTTTAGGTCAAACATGCATTCTAACTCCTCCGGCCTTCGTCCTAAATCCCCGAAACGCCGAAACTCACATGGGCGATCGAAGTCCAAGCCACGTTCACTGTCAATCACGTCTCATAAACCGTTAATGCCCAGCTCTCGCTACGCTCGGGCCCACGCTGTTCTTCGAAGATTTCTCAGAAACGCTTAGTTATAACGGACGCAAAAACCAAAACACCGATCTGCCGCGTGAGATTTGTTTATTGTTACACCAACATATAAAAGGAATAAGCGAACTAAGGTCTGAAAACAAATATTACAATAATAAATCTCTGTATTACTTCTGATGATGTTTCACTCTTCTTTCTGAACAGCGACCGATGAGACGATGACTGTCGTATTGATGCCTCCGCGAAAATTGGGGAAGTTGATTTTAAGCAAACAACCAAGAATTGATCGTTCAATCTTCAACTCCATTGACACTCCCCGGCAAAAAAGGGATCCAACCCTTTTTTCCTTCGCGACCAATGCACGTCGACTTGGATGCCATTGCGAGAACCTCGGTCACACGGACAGAGCTGAAATGGAAAACAAACAGAAAAGCCAACACACCACAAGCATACCCACAGCACAATCTCACACATCGCTGACGACCTGCGCCTCCAGACAGAGACCTCCTCTTGACATCTTGCAACACGATCGCCATTTGCTAGAATGACTCTCGCAGAATGCAAAGTGACCATGGCAGGACCTCACGATACTCTACGCACATCCTCTTAATTACTCACTACCAATTACCATTGAAATCGCTTGTCACTCATTCCACCTCAGTTCTAGTAGCGGTGACGCACGCGAGCCTCAGTCGTTTACACTCTTTCTCCCCGGCGTGTCGGACCGCAGCTAACAATTATCTCCGTGTGCGTTTCATTCTCAGCAATAGCCTAGCCTCTCCGGCGTATACGACCCATCTGCTGTCTCTAACATCAATCAATTCATTCATGGATGTAGAAGACAAGAAACAACTTCAGAAGTAATCACGACGAAAATTTTAACAAAATTATGCAATAAAAACAAGGCACGAAAACAACGAGTAAACACAACTGATCCAAAATCACAAATTGCGAAGACACACCACACGTATACACAAACAGTACAAATAACCTCGCCGATCATGTCTTGGTGGAATTATTTTGAAGAATTGGAGGACTTACACCAGTACGCCTACAACCCATCTCAAGTTGACGATTGTAAGTTGTGGAATGTCCAGACACAAACAAGATTAACCAACAATTACATCAATTGGAACTCACACAACTATTTAACACAAACATATGTACAATCAACACATCAAATGTTGTGGATTCTGACACGACAAACTACCCTTGAAGAACTGTAGGACTTACACCAGTACGCCTACAACCCTTCTCAGGTTGACGCCCTAGGTTGGAAAATCGTCGCAGAGTTCATTTGCTAACTTCCTTCTATCAGCTATATCCTCAAATCTGAACGGCAACACGCCCATGTCATTGTATCGTAGAATATAGATGACCAACAAACACACGACATATCTCATCAACCAAGTGTAGAAACAGAGTAATTTACACCAAAGATAATAACATTCAAATAGTAACTTGAAACTAGAAATGCCTTTATTCGTGCAAGTCAATTTAACAATAACTCTCTCCTTTACACTTGGCTTATCCACACTAAACTGACCATTGATATTCGTCCTTTCAAACGAACTGATACTACCATAGTCATTGCACAAGATACTTGAGTTGATGGGTGTCTGTTTCATTGTGGATGACAGCACCAACGATGACTGAGTGACACAAGGTGATGAACTTAGTGGTGGATCAGAAGCTGTTCTTGTTCGGCTCTCAGATAGTTGTCCAACTGCAAGATTACCACCACTGCTGTCTTTCACTACTAGTTCGGGTTTAGCACTATCATCTGATGATAGGTGGGCTACACGCTGATCAATTACACTGACTGTCTCACAAGTATGCACACCTTTTGGAACTGCATCTGCGTTCAATTCTACTTCACGTTGTAGTTGTACAGAACCTTTATTTAACTTAGCAGTAGTAGGCATATCCCTCATCTCATAATGATCAACCAAAGACAAATCTGCACTATCATGATCATTATCACAAATATTCAATTTACCGTCAACTTCATCATTTTCAAACTCTTTAATAACAGAAGTAGACAATTTTGGTTCCTCCTCGCAAATCACAAAAGGTTTTATAACTTCACTCTGACTAGTAATACCTTGTAAACTTTTGGAGTCAGAACTCCACTCTGAAGCAGTAACTCTATTCTGTGACACTCTATTCAACAACGGCTTACCAGTTGCAACTACAGACTTCTTCACAACAACGTTATCGTCACACAATTCGGAGTCAGACCTGGAGTTTACATTTAGCTTATCACTGAACTTGCTCACTGGTTCACAGTTCACTTCTGTATGCACCTCTTGCACACGTGTAAAACACAACCGTGTTTGTCTTGCATCTTGTAACTTATCTGTTGAGGATGTACTACGAAACCTGTTACACTCACTAGGTCTATATGCATTACTAGACATCATGGAGTCTTCTCGATATCCACCTCTCTGAGGCTTATTCGTCATCAATGAGTGCGTTTTACCCTCAGACTGCTCTATTCTAGGGGTGAGATCTAACAGACTGGAAAACTTGCTCATAGATTGATTGACACTAGTATTTACCAGTTTCAGGATATCATCAAACTTTGGCTCGATACCCTCATCCTCCATACGGGAGCTTATCTTCACCCACTTCCTTTGCAGTCGAGTAGGTAGACGTCTTGCTATTACTTCTAGTATAAAACTCGAGTTGAGGTCACTCATGCGATTCATCGAAATCATTCCATTCTTGTAAATTAGCAAATTATCTAAAAACTCAGTGAGTGCCTGGGAGTCATCCTGTAATTGACCACCATTACCCTTAACAGCCTCGAATAATTTCCCTGCAATCATCGAAGGTCTTCCAAACCTTTGACGTAATATGCTCATAGCCTCATCGTAGCCCTCTTTTGGCTTCATAAACTTACAGCACTGTATAGCTCTTGCAGCATCTCCAGTGCAATATCTCATCAAATACATTAACTTCAATTCATCATTTAATAAAATACCACTCAACATGATCTCAAACTCCTTTACAAATTGTAAATAATCGGCCGGGTTTCCATCAAAACACCGTGGTTCAAATTTAGGGAGTTTGATGTTCCTATTATCCCTGAACGGCGAAACAGTAACATCAACCATGTCATGCTTAACATCAGACACATCGTTACAATTAACAGACAAGTCACCATGACTTACTTTCCTGTTTGCATCCAAGACACTCTGTCCCTTCTTTGACCCAGGCATTGTTGAACTTGACCCAATTCCAAAAAAGTTCCAGATATTGCTTGTTCAAAGAGGACTTGACCGGCACCAGGAAAAATGAACGGTGACTATCCAAACTTTCACCAACTGTTTGAATCCGCCAGATCTGTTTCTATCGTCAGAAACTGTCAATCACGTCTCATAAACCGTTAATGCCCAGCTCTCGCTACGCTCGGGCCCACGCTGTTCTTCGAAGATTTCTCAGAAACGCTTAGTTATAACGGACGCAAAAACCAAAACACCGATCTGCCGCTTTAGATTTGTTTATTGTTACACCAACATATAAAAGGAATAAGCGAACTAAGGTCTGAAAACAAATATTACAATAATAAATCTCTGTATTACTTCTGACGATGTTTCACTCTTCTTTCTGAACAGCGACCGATGAGACGATGACTGTCGTATTGATGCCTCCGCGAAAATTGGGGAAGTTGATTTTAAGCAAACAACCAAGAATTGATCGTTCAATCTTCAACTCCATTGACATTCACTGAAAAACCCTGACTTGTGCTAGTACCACGACACCTTTGGCCAAGCGGTGGAATGTTGACGTAAGCCTTGTAACTTTGGAAATGTCTCTAAGTCAGTGGGAAACTATCCCGCCGGCATGCGTTAGCGGCGACCGTCGCCAGTGGCACCTGCCGCCTACTTTACATCAAAGATGTGATCAGCCAGACTCGATATATAGTCAACACAAGCGCCGAAGTCAGCGTCCTTCCTGCTACAGCAGCAGATCGACAGAAGGAACCTACCTTCAACTTACAGGCTGCAAATGGAAAACCAATTGCAGCCTTTGGTAGGAAATACGTCTATCTGAACCTAGGTTTACGCAAACGTATTCGGCGGTTTTTTTCTCGCTGACATCACAATGCCCACCATTGGCACGGACTTACTTAATCATCATGATTTACTCAAAGACGTCCGCCGAAAACGACTGATTGACAACACTACTAGTCTGTCTATTAAGGGCATCACTCACATAGGCCCCAGCTGGTCACTGGTTAAGATAAAGGCAATCCTTGATCCAACTTTTCAACTTATTGTTGACAAGTATCCAGAACTTAAGTGCCCGTCCAACGACCTACAGTGCAAGACCAGCAATGTTATGCAATATATCAATTCCTCAGGTCAGCCCGTGACATCTAGAGCGCGACGACTGGCCCCTGACAAGCTGAGAATCGATAGGAATGAGTTCGACCATATGCTCAACTTTGACATCATTCGACCTTCGAGTAGTCCATGGGCATCCCCACTTCATATGGTACCGAAAAAGGATAGCAACGATTGGCGACCCACTGGTGATTACCGGCGAGTGAATGGCAAAACAACCCCTGATTGCTACCCGCTGCCTCAAATACACGACTTGACGGCAACATTACCTGGTGCAGCTATATTCTCTAAAATCGACTTGGTTAAAGCGTATAACCAAATCCCGATGGCAACAGAAGATATCCCGAAAACGGCTATCATTACGCCTTTCAGGCTTTTTGAATTTCTCCGTATGCCATTCGGTCTTCGGAATGCAGCCCAAATATTCCAACGCTTCATTGACGAAGTATTTCGCGGTCTCGACTTTGTATACGCATACTTAGAAGACTGCTTCATTGCCAGTCCAGACAAGGAAACTCACCTTAGGCACTTGGACTTGGCATTTGAAAGGTTACGCCAACATGGTGTTACCATTAACATCCAAAATTGTCGAATGGGCGTTGACTCACTCTATTCCTGGGTCACACTATTGACTGCAAGGGCATTCGCCCACTGGCTACTAATGTCGAGGCTATACTGAACTTTCCAGAGCCACAGACGGTGAAAAGTCTCCGCACTTTTAATGGCTTAGTAAGTTATTATCGACGCTTTGTTCCCAACTGTGCCTCTCTGATTCAGCCATTGAAAGATCTCCTTCGAGGGAATAACAAGTCCATAGAACTTGACTCGTCTGCTCGAAATGCTTTTACCCAGGTTAAAAAGCTATTGCGAATGACACACTTCTGATATATCAGGATCCAACGTCACTGTTAAGTATCTCGGTTGATGCACCAAACACTGCAATCGGCGCAGTTCTACAACAGCTAGTTAACAAAGAGTGGCGACCACTTGCCTTTTTCTCCAGGCGCCTTCAACTAGCTGAAATGAAGTACAGCACGTTCGGCAGAGAACTTCTGGCTATGTACTGTGCTATACGTCATTTTCGACATTCAGTAGAGGGTCGTGAATTCATAATTTTTACTGATCGCAAACCTCTGACGTACTCTCTGAACTCACCTTCAGATAAGTATACACCCAGGGAATCACGACAACTGGATTACGTTTCACGGTCTACATCAGATATTCGCCACGTATCCGGAGTAAACAACACTGTGGCAGATGCCTTGTCGCGCGTTTGTTCCCTCACCCAAATCGACGACATAGACCTTGTAAAACTGGCTCCTCTTCAAAAAGAAGATACCGAGCTTCAAAACGAGTTGTCGAAAACAACTCTACAATTAGCTGAGAAACCGTTAGGTATGGGAAGAGATACTATTCTACACGACACTTCCACGAGTACTCCTCGCCCCATCGTGCCTAAAAGTTATTGCCGTAACGTCTTCAATACGTTGGATGGCTCATCTCACCCAGGTATTCGGACTACTGTCAAGCTCGTAACTAGTCGGTTTTGTTGGCCTGGCATTAATAAGGAAGCAAGGGAATGGCCCCACACGTGCTTAGCTTGTCAAAAGTACAAGGTGATAAGACACACCAAAAGCCCACTTGGCACCTTTCTTCTCCCTGACGCTCGTTCTGAACACGTCCATATAGATTTATTTGAACCCCTTCCTGAGTCCCATGGATATACCTATATTTTAACTTGCGTCGATCGATTCACACGATGGCCGGAAGCAGTACCCATCAAGGAAGTATCTGCTGAAACAGTCGCACTGTCTTTGTAGAAATATGGATCACTAACTTTGGACGCCCATCTTCTAAAAGAACTGATCGCGGGCGGTAATTCGAAAGTGACTTATTCTTCACCCTGACTAAAATCCTGGGTTGCATGCGTTTTCGAACAGTGGCCTACCATCCTCAAGCTAATGGCATGGTAGAACGTCTACACAGACTGGTTTGTCGACTGCAAACAACACCCATTGGACTGAATCCCTTCCGTTAGTTCTCCTAGGGATACGAAACGCCCTGAAAACCGATGGCGGTTGTACTAGCGCCGAGGAAGTATATAGCACGACACTACGAATGCCTGGTGAATTCGTTTCTCCCTCGAGCTTCCCATCAGCGGTAGATCACGCTTCATACACCAGCAGGCTTACAAACGCAATGCGCTCAGTTAAACCTGCTCCCCTTCGTCCACAGTCCATTGATGTTTTTGTTCACCCGTGTTTAACAACTTCTTCACATGTATTCGTTCGTCGCGACTCTGTGCCTAGACCTCTGGAACCCCCATACGACGAACCTTATAAAGTAATTAAACGTTCTGATAAATTCGTTGTCTTAGACAAAAACGGCTGCGAGGACACTGTCAGCATTGACCGTCTGAAACCGGCTTACTTGGAAGGTGATCCCATTAGCATAGAGCTCAACGTACCCCATAATCCACAAGTAACCAAAGATCGTTTAGTCCTCGATGAAGTCACTAGAACGGCGACAGCTACCGAATCTTCTGTCGAGCCCCCTAAGAAAACCCGTTCTGGACGTACAGTAAGGTTCCCAGAATATCTTCACAC